ATCATAAGTACAACTATCAACAATGAAGAATATAATGCTTAATGACAACCATCAATGTTGATGCACAAGAGCAAGCCAAAATTGCCATCACATTGAAAAGTGCAAGATTGGCAAGTAGAATATTTCATGATTCTAAAGCCATAAAATGGGTTAATTATTTAACAGTAGCTTCAACTTGATAATCAAAAATAGGTAACAGTAATGATAATAGGCATGTATGTCTAGTATAATTTTCATGAAACCCTAATTACAGCATACAAGATCATGATGATCAATTTAAAAATGCCATCGAGCCAAACCTCATCATAGTACTTGACCTGAACAACGTCATAGATGTTTCGCTGTTGCTCTACTTGACCAAAGGCTTCCAATATGGGCATTCCTGAAACATCAGCATGAAGAATTTATCAACACTATACATCATATTTCATTGGAAGCAAGCATTAATAGTTAAATTTTATTAGAATGTCGTCTCATCATCATTCGATCCTACTAATTTTAGGAATATCAAATTCCGATGAACTAAGATTAAGTACCAAATAATAATAATAATCATGTAGACCATTATGTAGAAAGTTATATACTTGTAGCATCACTCTTACAGAAATAGTGAATACAATTCCAGCTTGACCTTTCTTCTGTCTTCATCTTCAATTTTTGCTCTTAATCTGGTTGGGTGAATTGCTTTTGCAACAGGATCCTATGAGCACAAATGATAAGAGAAATTGTTAAAAAGAAGGAATTGATAAAAAAATATGTAATGGCCAAAATGGTGCCTGCAAATGAAAATCATCCAACCGAATTATGGAGAGAATTCCAAGTTTTATCTCTTCAAGTGTTAATGTTCTGCACTTTTGCCCAGGTTTTCATCTGCTGAGATGAAAACATAGCATTGGTCATTATATTTCAAGACAAATAGAACTGTACAGAGATTCTTAAGCATAACAATCTAACAGAAATCTAGGAAACTATTTACAATTATCAACAACTTTCAATATAGGCACCTTAGTCGTTGTGATTGGAAGAACACCAGAAACATGCCCTTTGCCTAGAGCATATGAATCCATATATGAGATGCATCCAAGTACCACTTTTCATTTTTTGATAAAGAACAAAAGGAGAACAAAGAAGGTATAAACAAGAAGTCATCACTAATATTTGCAACTACTACTGTAATTCTAGGGAACACCATCTACAACTCCTTGAAACCTAACCAAATACAACACAAGTTACTGGTTGAAGGAGTTGCTTTTCAACACTACTCTGCTTCCATCATATCTTTTGATAGGGGGCACTAATCAAATACACAAATCTTTATAATCACTTAAAAGTTACCAACATTTTCAAATCAGTTTCAAAATCTAAATTACTTCAAAAGCCCTACCAATGCATAAGGAGATCTTCATCTAATTTGTTCCTCACATTCACAACAACATAGTTATTAGTCGTCACATTAATTGTGGGACTGGGAAACTTCCCATTTATAGCAATTATAGAGCAATGCAGTTCAAGAATCTTGGCCATTCAAGCCTAAAGTTCAAATCTTTAGTACACATTTCTTAGATCCACAGTTGTAGATTCAAAATTATACAATATAAAGCAAACCAATCAATCTCAATTAAATTATAACCAAACCCACATGACTAAAAGCTAAAAAATCAACAGATTCTATTCAGAAAAGTGTTGAATGGAAAGAAAATTATACCTGCTGTGGAATACCAAGATGACAGGCAGTAATATAGGAGACCACAAATTCATACCTCTGGTTCAATGACAAAAATAACATCGAATTGTTTCACAATTGAACAATGACAAAAATAACATTTTGAATTAAGTTTCAATCATTTTGTTTCAAATAAGATTTTTCTTTTGATGGTGAACATCAAATTTCTTTTGATGGAAGCGTTTCATACATTGATACCTATTTAGGAAAAAAAAACCCCTTTGCCCACTCTATCTTTTTTCTCTAGAATGTCTCACCAGAACCATATTAATTCCTTTTCTTTCAAAGTGCTCTTGTTCATGTTAAAAATGATACTTTTATTGATACTTCAAAATCCCCCAGGACACCATCAACTATGCTTATAAAGCAACTGACAGAAAAAGATCTCATTGGTAATTACTGTTATAATCCCAAGTCTTTTTCTCATTGGTAATTATTGTTATAATCCCAAGTCAATTCCAACGCGAGGTGTAGAGCAGAAAAATGGTCTAGGCCTTCCAATTCCCCTTAGAAAAGGGATTGGATTGTGAACAAAATACATATTTCTTAATATATCGCCTATTGTCACCCTCTTTTAAAAATTTTTCATCTAACCCATCGAGTGTAAATATTCTTTAACATAAGCAGATGCTCTTAAGTTCCAAAACGACATTAGCTACACATGAATATGTATATCTATTATCTAAAGTATAACCACAAAAGCACGATGTACCACATGCTGACTCCATACCCGAACTATTTTGTACCACATGCTGACTCCATACCCAAACTACTGCTCTAAGCCTCTAAGAGATATTGTGTCCACCATTTTCATTTGCCACCAACAACAACAAAAAAAATGAGGAAAGAAAAGAAAGTACCTATGCAGCTGGAACTTGGATTTGTCCGTGGAATCCTCAGAACATCCTCAATAGCTTTCGTATCCCCAGCGTCCCCCTCGATTTCCACCTCAAAATCAATAGGCACCTCCGCCATTAAACTCGGTGCAGTGAATTCAAGAAAACCCAAATATGAGAAGGGAGAGTCAAATATACCTTCAAACTATCAAACTAAATATTGTTGTTATCTACTCTGTTACCTTGGCCGTGGGGAAGTATAACTCTAGAATCCGATGTATTATCCAGCGGGCAAGCAAGTAGATCAGGTGATGTCGACTCCAACCGGCCCTCCCCATTTCTACTCCTATTAAACTGCAATCCTGCACTGGAACAAAGACAAAGAGAAAGGTCAAACACAAAAGTAATAGGGAAGAATTTCGAAAATGCACGAAATGGGAAGAAGAAGACTCTGGAAAGAGTGAAGTTGCGTGTGTCAGATGGCAAAATAGAGAATGGGAGAGCACAGAAGTAGGTTGCCGTGTGTGAGCAGAGGAAGGAAAAGGCACAAAAGTAAATTAAAAAATCTCCTCTTACACGGCTCGGCTTATATGGCTCGAAAATGGCTGGCTTACTTGGCCATTTGGCTTAGAAACAGTGACAAAATCCTCCTCTTTTATATATGTAGAGGATATACATGGATCCCACTCCCAAACATCAGGTAAGGTTGAAATGAGCACAATCAAATAGAGATAGTGGTAAGGATGCGGGCAGAATTCTCTATCGGACGCTTATTCATATTTCATCAAGATGATCCTTTGTAACTTAAGTCAGTATCTTGCCCTGTATGTCACTAAAATTGTCTGCTTTAAGATTCTCTAACACTTGACAATTTGGTACCTTTGCAAATATGTATATTTAGATATAAATATAACAAGATTGAGTTGACAGAATATCGATGAAAAAAAAATCTATGACACACCTCGAGTCACATTACCCTCAACTCAAACCGTACAAAGTTGAGTTGATCATTAAGACAGAAGAATAATCAACCACACGTCGTAGTTCATGTCGAATGGTCTCTCCAACAAAATAAAAAATGATAAGAGTTCGACCATATGCACATGTTTTCCTATTCAAAAGGTCGTCCCCCAACTTAAAAAGAGACCAAAAGTACACACTGAATTTAAAGGTATTCATCCATCCACTTCTATGATACTTCGTTCTTCATTTTTATAATATAATAATACAAAGGAACAATTCTTATCAAATTCAGTTAATTCAATATAGATGCACGTTGACTCAAATCAAATCAAAAATAAAAAAAGATGCAAAACTAGATTCGTGGTGGTGTCGGATTTGATATGCCAACGTAATTAGAAGATAAAGACCAAATTGCATACGTGGCTGATAATGACAAGCTCATAGATAATCTTGTCCAATTTTAAAACAATACAAATCGAAGGACAAAAAATTTGACATAATTACCAAAGCTAACAAAGTGAGAAATAGATAAGTATAGACATCACTTTTTGGCTTTGTTTGAATGATCTCTTTGACATTAGCTAACTATCCTATTCGACGAGGGGAATAGTCACTCACTCCGCCTATATACGCTCCCGTTTGAGCTCTATTATATTAATAATACAGTTTTCTCTATCTTCTTTTTAACTATAAATTTCTTTTTAAAATATATTATACGTAAACTAAAAAAAAAATCATTCTTTTTTAATCACACGTTCTTCAAAAAATCACTATTATAAAATACATTTTTTTCCAAAAATTACATTATAATAAGCTTAAACGGGGGCTAATTAAAATTCAATTCGAGAGTAGATAGAGTAATTGTCCAATTTCCGTTGTAGCCAAATGATGGACTCTTAGTGGGCAATCCCTTGCCATCTTTGTTGTTGTTGAGAATCAACAAAATGTCTTAGACGAGACATAACATAATTGTTATGCTCAACGTATCCAATCATCACAGCAAATTCTTCCTCAGAAGATGGACAAGATTCGATCTTTGATACATCGTAACCCGTACCCTGTTTAATTGGTATTCACGAACCACTACACGTAAAGCTCGAACTTTAATTGAGCTATAGTCTATAGATGTTGTAATGCTCAACATTCCATTAAACTTGAGTCAAATCGAATGATTTAAAGCCAAAAAGACTATTGCAACGTAATGTACGTCACCAATGACTAATGCCTTACTCACAAAATTGAAAGCCGTCCACAAAATCCAAAATTTGGAATCTGTCTAGGCTTAATTAAGGACTCGGCCCACCCGCCTCCACCCTCCCCACCCCAACAATAACCATGACGTCCACAATTACGTCACTTCCGTTGACCTTAAAGTCACGTCCACCCCCACCTTGCTATTAATATAACTCTGCCACGCCTCCATTCATCTCCCCTCTCCTCCCTCTACCCCACCCTACTTCTGTTCTGAGATCCTTACCATGCAACAAGCACTCCCCTACAAAGATTGCCTTCCCACCACCACCTCCTCCAACGGTGGCGCCACCACCACAGCAGCTAACTCAAGTATAACAAAATTGGTGGCGGAGAATCCAGTGGTGGTGTTTGCCCGAAGTGGGTGCTGCATGTGCCATGTTGTCAAACTTTTGTTGCAGGGCCATGGCGTCAATCCCACCATGTTTGACATAAATGAGCAAAATGAAGCAGCCACAATAGAAGAATTTTCCAAGATTATCGATAATCCAGAAGAGAAAGCCGACCGGCCACCACCACCATTTCCGGCAGTTTTTGTCGGCGGAAATTTTTTTGGTGGGCTTGATGAAGTTATGGCGGCTCATATTTCCGGTGAACTGGTGCCTCTGTTAAGAAAAGCTGGTGCCTTATGGCTGTGAATTTTGCTTTTTTCTTATTTCATTTTGTAACAGGAAAAAGTAGTTTTTGAGCACGATAACAGTATAATAACACGTTAATACGTTACTTTATGGTTGGATTTCATAATATTACACGTTAATAGTTGGCTTCGTTTGCGTCGCAGTTTTGAACTTGGTTAATTTGTTACTTTTCTTCCCTTTGAATATTGACTTCTTATCTCCAAAAAGATACAAGTACCAATTCTGAAAATTCACAATAATAAAGGATCATACTACAAGTACATAATTATTTACACAATTGACATGTGACGCACATTCATCGGCAGTCTACAATTTTTGACTTTTCCACACTTCACATCCACGGCTGAATTTCTTCCACATGAGCCTATGTAATCCATTATGTACATATAGATTTATCTAATAATTATTTTACTGAATTTTATGTAAAGATCTTAATGTTTTAACTATTATATTCAATTCATTTATCGAAAACAATTCCATTATAATATTTAATGGTAATTCATCTATCCATCCAATGCGTGCTTACGTACGAAGTGTTGTTGCTGTAAGTGTTATGCATTAAGTTCAATCAACTTTGAACATAAACACTTTAAATATATATATTCGATGCATATCTATGGCAATATCTATTATTTAATTGAATTAATATTCTAATAAATTAAATAACAGAATCCGTAGATTCAAATTTTGGTGATTTGTTAATCACGAGGAGTTGTGATTGTGAGATACAAATTACATATGACTTAATCTTAAATCGTCTGTGGTCGAAGTAATAACGAGATGCGGATATCGTTATTACGGATAGACCATCGCGTGTGACATTCTTACTTGTGAAGTAAGTAGCTGATCTCACAAGTTAAAGTGTGGTGACACTTGAATGAACAAGCGGATGTTTTGTTATAGAACAAAATATTGGAGACTCCCTGGGAGATTCCACATGGATAACTATCTAAGTGTTAGTGGTTAATCTCTAACGTTCGGTAGTGAAATTGGTCATTTGACTTGAGGTCATCATAGTACCTTATATGAGGACAGTCATACTTTGGTGGTGTTGGATGTTACTCTGTCAAGGGTCGCTAATACAGTATCGTTCGGGTATGTCAAGAATCATATGAAGGTTGTGTGTCAAGAATCATATGACGGTTGTGAATGACCAATAGAGGATTTGTCACTCTTAGATAGTAAGAGATTATGATCTACATTTTATCCAGTTAAGTTGATAATGAAATCCTTGGTCAAGGTGAACTTATAAGTCGAAAAAGAGTTTTCAACTTACATTGACTTAACAGTGGGATAAAAGATATGATCAATAATTGAGATTGACACATATCCATATCTCATAATTAATTCATGGATCGGATTTAATTAATTTGATTAATTAAATATCGGATCGGGTTAACTTTAGAGATGAGCCGTCCACTTGGGCTTATATTAATAAGCTGCTAGGGTTTGTAAATTGTAGAGAATTCATTATTCTTGATAGCACAAGAAAAGTAAAACCCTAGCCGTCATTCTTGTTCTCTGTGTGGATCACCATTGGAGGCTGGACAATTGGAAAGCTTGGATTGCAGATCGTGATCATTGGAGTTCGAGAATTAGCAAAAGAGTTTACAGAATTCATCAAATGTATTATTCTCAACACGGTTTCTATCTAAACACAAAATAGATCCGTGGTGGGAATTGAAAAATTATTAATTTTTCGCTGTGCATGTTAAGTAAATTCCCAACAGTTGCTTAGTGGAGAATATGAGTCGACTAATGGATGTGATGGAGAAATACTTAAAATATGTTGAGACGGTTCAAATAGTTTAAGCAATAAGGCAAAACAAGTTGGAATATTATTCAGAATAATAAGTTTTTGAAATGAATAAATAATACTTATCTTCTTGGTTTTGCAATTTTTTACAAATACTTGTAACTCCCAAAATCACTTGGCGTTTTCTTTTTTTTTATGTTTGTGGGATACATATACGGTTCTAAAAAATTTAAAAGTAGAAAATTATAAAAAAAAATAATAATGTTTCTTTGTAAGGTGTAGTTAATTAACCCTAATTAACAGTGACGGATTCGAGAATATTGATGAGTTATGGTAGTTGTTTACGGTCGACAGTCAACTGATCAGAAGCAAAGCATAAAGATATATCAGGAGCATATTTTAAGCAAAAGCAGAAGCTTAAAAGTAAGAAGAATTTCTTCCCAGCAGGAGAACAAAGATAAAAACTTGAGGAGGAACCATACCAGTATGCAGTCAAAATTATTAGCAGTATAAAATCAAATCCGAAGTCGTAATGGCAACACTCAGAAGTTTGGATCGAGTTAGAAATGAACTTCTAATTTCCATTGAGTGAGGAATTTGTGTTAAGTGCAACGGATAGTAGACAAACAAAAGCTTCTCCGTTCACAGTCGAAAAAAAGTAAGGATAACAAATGCCTATGATGTGGTTAGCAGTTCGAGCAAGGTGGTTCCAGACGGCAAATGGACAGTAAGCATCAACCGAGGAAGAAAAGAAATCTAGTAAAAGTGAAAAAAAAAAAAAGACCAATTTTATGGGCAAACTTGAGGAATTGCAGTACAAATTCATTTGATACTCGCAGCTTTGCAAGAACCGAAAAAATGTCAAAAAAAAGAAAAAGAAAGGGAAAGGACCAGGAAACAAACAGAATAAGATGCATACAGCAAATATGACTTATATTCTCTCATTGTCCGGTTAACCTCTTCCATTTCCAAGCAATTCAACCCGTATACATTACTTACAGTAATTTAAAATTTGATCCAAGAATATAGGAATAATTATTGAAAAATTGTTCACTTCATAATATCTGAAGAAGAAACATTCTGAAAAACAAAACTCACTTGTAACATCACAGTCATAGGACCTTGCTTTCCCATTTCTCGCAATTTCTTTTCTTCGTCATTCAGAATTCGGAGATAGGGTTGGGCTTTATGTGTTTTTTGAAAATGGGTACTTACAAAAATCCCCTTAAAATTAGGGGTGTTTTGAAAAATTATATAAAATGTTTTTAGGAAGTAAAAAATATTGTGTAAAATGAAAAAAGTGACATTTTTTATAAAAATTGTCACTTTTTTTAAAGTGACACAAAATCAAAAAAGTGACACAATTCAGAAAAAGCGACGCACCAAAAAAGTGATATAAACTCAAAAAAGTGACAAAATATCAATCAAAACCTATGTTTATTATTCAAAAAAGTGATAGAAGTTTTTATAAAGTAACGAACACTAAAAAAAGTGACAAAACCCCGATTTCTTTTTTTAGTGAATTGTATCACTTTTTAATAAAAAGTTAAGTGTAATGTCACTTTTAATATCACTTTTTAATTAAAAAATGACATACAATATCACTTTCATTAAAAAGTGAAGTGAAATACAATATCACTTTTATTACAAAGTGACATTTGTCACTAAAAAAATGACAGAAATTTTAAAAAAATGTAACGAACAATAAAAAAAAGGGTGATAGAAAAAGTGGCAAACGTTAAAAAAATGACATGAATTAAAAAAAGTGACAAACGTTCAGAAAAGTAACAAAAGTTTAAAAAAAATGCAAATATTCGAAAAGTGACAAAACAACAATAGAAAAAGTGACAAACCATTCATTCACAACTTTTTTTCTCACAAAATCTTACAAACAATCATAACTTACAACTTTCAGTTCCAAAATATGATAAAATCACACAAACTTATCTTCTCAACAATTATGCAAGAATTGAGTTATTGTCCACCAAGAACCATCAAAATCATATCACAAATCCTAATCTGAACTATACAATGAAAAGGAACCATTTCACGTGGTTATCAATTGAAGCCATTGGTTGATGATCCACTGTTGCCATCATTAATTGAAAATCCTCTCAACGAATTAAGCATTTGGAGCAACATAGATACATCAAATTCCTTAGACCCGAATTTATTGCACAGCGCCTGAATTTCAAGCACAAATTCGTCGAGTTTGGGTGGAAATTGATCTTGACCCATGGTATGGTTGTCTGCGCCAAAGGATGAGGAAGAATGCCAATGTGGTCAGCGACCATGGGTACGCCGGACGGAGGAGGAATCGCCATTATTTGTGGGCTGTTCCGTGACAGTCGCGACTGGCAATGTTCTGGTGAAAATTCGTGCAGCTGGAGGGATGGTTGGGACAAACTGTGACCTGGTACTGAGCATGGGCCATCGTCCATCGACCGGTGTAGGTCTGACGTCATGGTTATGGTCGGAAATTGTGATTTCGGCAAAATGAAACTTTTCAGGCAGTGATTTTTTAGTTGCGATTTCTTCCAATTCCGTGGATGTTATTGCTTGTTGTTGGGTTGTAATGGAAGAAGACGTTAAGGGCTTTCCATCGGTACCTATATCCAATGGTTTGGGTGGTCGATCGCTGCCGGAAAAAGAGGCCATAAGTGGCTGCTAGAAAGGGCAAAAATCGCCTTTAGGTAGAAGAAAACTGCAGGCAAAGCAATTTAGTTCCTAGGAGATTTTGGAGTTTTGAGGATTTGTTTTAGTTTAGGGTGTAATTAATACGGGATTTATTTGATGCTTAATTAGTTTAGGGTATTAATCTAATTGGATCCATTTTTAGAGCTTTAAGCCTAATTTACCCTTTTGAAAATGTGAAATGACCAATGGCTAATTCAATTTAAAAAGCCCAACTAAAGAGAAGGACCAGATTCTTACAAAAAGAAAATAAAATTGGCCCAACTAAAAACTCATCTCCCCCTCGCCTTCTTCCCTGTTACTCATCTTTCCTCTACTGCGCCCGTAAACTTCGGCGGAGCCAGCACGGGCGACCGCACCACCCTCCACTGCTAATTAAGTAGGGAAAAAATAAAAGAAAATATTACACAATTAGGGGTTTATTTAACCCAAACATTTAATAGGAAAAAAATAAAAAAAAATTGATAAAGAAACAAGTTTCTAAGGTCGAGAAAGAAGGTTCTTTATAGAGAGCATGTTCTTTCCGGAATAAGGTCTACAAATTTTATGAAAGAGGTTTTTTTGTCGGGAATTGTATCATATGTATGGTGAGAGAACTCCTTACTCGACTAAGATAAAGAAAAGAAAAAAAAAAAAAAACCCTTAATGGGGTTCAAAATTTGTGTAAGTTTACTAAATTGTTGCAAGTCCCATTTCAAAGCTATTTGTATCGATTTTTGTTGTTTATATCCACTATTAGTAGGAGGATCTTTAAAAAGGAATGCACGCTCCGAGTGAAAGTTTACAGAAAGGGACTGAAAATTGTCGCACGTCCCATTTAGATGCTATTTATGTCAATTTTTATAAGCCCTCACAACTCACAAGAGCCTGCACTCCTGTAGTAGGCCAACAACCCCAACTAAATCGATCTTCATATCCTACATAAATAAAAGAGTCACTTGGTGGTTACTATTCATAAGTTGAGTCGAGCCAAATGGCTTTATGGCTCGGCTAAACCGTCTAAGCGATTTTTTTTTTTTTACGTTTGATTCAGTATTTTAGTTACAAATATTCGTTTTAAGCGATTTAAAATTTGTTGAAAATGTTGTGTTGCGGTTTTAATACTGATAGAAACCCTTGATTTGTCCTAAATTCTGCAATGTATTGTCATTAATTAATTAGTCTTGACAACATACGTCTTGCATAGGGTCTTAGTAAAGAAATTAAATAATGGTGCGACTGATATATGTAATTGGAGATTCTATGAGTACGAGATGAAGAAGACATAATGCCTTACCTCAATAGGTAGAAAAATGGGAGTTATGTTGAACTTCATTATCTCTTTAGGAGTGTATCAACACCTAATCATTTATGCCCTGTCGTTTTTTAAAAAGAACAGAGAGATCTTCTAACGCAAAGTCTAGAAAATAAGTTTTGAATCAAATCTCTTAATATTATTTTTGTCATTTATCATCATTTCAAGTGTTTTAAATTTAATGTAAATAATACTTAAGACAAATAATTTTTTTTTTATATTTTCGCTATCATATAGCCAA